ACACAAACTCATTAGGTAGGTTATGCATGGCTTTCCTGCCCCGTTTGCCTTCAATATATCCTGTGAGTATCAAATTTTCTAAGCTGTCTTTCCATATTATAAGCCCTAAAAATTTCAACTCTTTCTGATGCTAAGTATGAGTGACCTATTTGTTTCTATTTTCTCAAAAATTTTATGTTGTTGCACAGCAAGGCTCAATTAACATCTTTAAGAAATCTGTATCTTTCATTGAAGCCGATTCAAGCAAAGATATACAAGTGATATCACTTGTATATCCTTGCTTGAACTGGCTTCTAATGCTCTGGATGGAGCGGCTTGGTGATAGTAGTCGTGGCTCGTGGGGGCACAGACCTATGAGTAAAAGAGAAACTTGGATGAGTTCCACCACGGAATATGTGATCGAGTGGTGCTACATCAAGTCTGATTCGCTACCTCTTCGTCACTGAGGCCCGTTGGAACAGTTGGTATGATGTTTGCCTGATAACATAACTGACCAGGTTTCAATTCACAGTAGTGGATGCACACTGCTGATGAGTGCCAAATATAGGACGAAATGGCCATGCAGTGTTTTCTGCATTCTGTTGAGGTTTCTTCGACTTGATGAATTACTTATAATAATATTATAATATAATATATATAATTATCTCAAATCCTCCTAATTTCTATCACTATAAATATTATTGTTAAAGCATACCTGGCTTGAAAGTGATTCCTCATAGTAAAAAGTTGAAGAACATTTTCTTTAGTATGACTTTCAGTCTGCAGGCTGATAGACATTAATTTCACTTACTTCCCCACCAAAAAACCAGGTACGTCTACTCAAACATATGTACCAATTATCTGGCTTATGACCACATCATGTTGAAACACCAACTCCCATACAATCACTGAAGTTAAGCAACGTTGAACCTGGTCATAACCTAGATGGATGAACACTTGTGAATACCACATGCTGAAAGCTTGGAAGTGCAGGTGGTGTAATGGATAATAGCTCAGAATTGTTAATCAGGAATTAAAGTTCAATTTGGATTTGTGATATTCACTTACACGTAAATACCCTTGGGAAAGGGCATGAATCTATGTCTTTTCCCTCCAGCTATGGGTTAATTAGTAAGATTGTATCACTAAATCATTATCTCGAAAAAATTACAAACTAAAAAAATATTTTCTGGCTTTAAAAAAAATCTGCAAAGGGTTGATAAGCCCTAGAAAACAAATCAATCAATCAATGAAATACTGATTAGCTACACAGGCATATCTTTTAGATTTATTTACATTCTCTCAACTATAAATGGATGGAAACTACCATGGTTACAAAGTGAGAGATCAGTTTACATATTGATTATAATGTAGCATTGATCGCCCACTTTATATCCACATCATAATTTCTTGTTTGTTTATCAAATTCTGATTAAGTATGAATCCAGCTCTTCTCCCTCCAGCTATGGATTAATTAGTAAGACTTTATCACTAAACCATTAAAAAGAAAATCCCCCCCCAATATTTTAAAATCTAAAAATATATTCTGGCTTTAAAAACATGCAATGAGTTGATAAGCCATAGAAAGTGAATGAATCAATCAATAATAAATTAAATAAAAAAAAATTAATGCTTTATAATACTGAATTTTATAATTCACAATTTCACACAGACATGCAATATAAATGCCATCATATAAACAAATTTTAATTATTTTATATTCAATATGTGAAAAAGTTTCCAGTTTTTGTTTTTTTATTATTGTTGTTGTAGTAACCTAGTGAAGGTCACTGAATAGAATAATCACATGAAGGTTGAATAATGAACGATAATACTTAGGACAAGAACAACACATACAAGATTCGCCAGCAGCGCATACAAGAAGTAGTCAACTGCTAGGAGTGAGTCAAGTGAATTCCACAATGAATCTCTGACTGCAGACCAACATACAGTATTTACTATATACCCATTATCATCTATAGGTACACTACAACAATTATTATAAATTTTCTTCTGTGTATCTCTGTGATCTCCAATTATTAATAAAGAAATAGATAAACTGCTAAAAAATTTTGCACAGGTCTAATAAAATATACAAAGAAAGCATTTAACTAAACTTCATTTTTATTATTATCAATCATATATAAAAGAAAAATTATGGTCAATCAGTCAAAACACTGTCTAAAGTCATGATTGCTTAACTAAATTTATTTGACTGAAACTGATATTTCTCTTTCACTGATTAACCATATCTCTAAAGATGGAATACAGGAATATCTCAATGTGCATTTAATTAACGTGTTTTTGATTAGTGTGCTAAAATTTTTATATACCAAAATTCGATTAGTATGGTAAAACATTCTTCAGTTTAACCGTAGTAATCGAATATTGATTTTTTTATAGTTACCAATTAAACATTTTCTAAAATTCAAAAATAGAAAATGGGTAACTATTTTGTTTGTCGTGTATTACGTTTTCTAATTACAGTAGTGTTAAAAAATAATGGATGGTATAAATTGATAATATAAATTTTATAATATAAGCTGATAATAAAAAATACATATTTGAATATTTGTCTTAAAATTTTTTGAATATTCTGATTTTTTTTTCATGTTCATTTTGAAGGTATTAAAAGGAAATTTAATTAAATACAGAAATTTACTTATTGAAATATAAAAGATGTATGCATTTACTATGGAAAAATTATAAATAAAACTTTTAGATTAAAATAAAATACTAAATGTTTGAAAAATTTCCAAAAACAGAAAATATATACCTATATTTCAATGAAAAATACACAAATTAGAAATTAATTGTAAATGAGACTAAAATTTGAGGTACAAATTACATCATTTCCTATAAGTTATATTCGATTAATGCACATTTTTTAATGTACACATTAGCTACACTAATCAAGGGATACCTGTATATAGTTGGCAAATTTAAAACTGCTTTTTTATTTATTTTAACAAGAAAGTCCTTAATTTTTTGAACCCTGTCTCCCTGATGAGTATGGCATATACATTTTCACACAGTGGCTGGCATACCAGCCACTAAAATTCAAAATGCTTTAAAGAGAATAAAAATACAGAAATCTCTTTTGGGAAAATGACCTTCCTTCCTTCCTTCTTCAACAAATTTGTTTTTAATCTAACATACTGAACCCTTTGCCATAAAACCAAAACAGAAGCATCCCAGGAGCAAGAGCAATTGATTTCATAAACAGAAAAAAAAACTCTCCTGGGGTTAGACAAAATTGAGATCAATCCAAACAAAGGGGAAGTTTCAAAATAGGGGAAGAGGCAAAGCTCTAAGTAAAAAAAAAAAATCTTGTGTATAGCTTTTTTTTTTAAAAAAGTCTTCTGACTGAGAAAAGTTTGTCTGTTCATTATACAGAGTTTGGCAAAAGTACCTTTCACATAATGGTAAGACATTAGCTAGATAAAGACACCATTACCACTAATGTCTTACCATTATGTAGGAGGTATTTCTGCCACACTTTGTTCATTACTAAAAGCCCATTCATATAGAACCCACCAATTGGGTAGGCAGACCTACTGGACACAGGGGAAGATTTCAAGTTAAAAAAAGAAAAAAATGTTCTTCATTGCAAAGGGACAAATATTGTTTGTAGTTGTCCAAGACAATAGTTTCTCTTTTTGGATAAGAAAAATATTTGTATGCCTTGAAAAATTAATTTTAATGAAAAATTTCATCCTGAAATATATTTTTTTATTTTTCATGGTATTTTTTTTTTCACTGCTAACTTACCAGAAACAAATGAAATATATTTTTACTTTTATACTATTAATTGCTCTTGCAGTTACTGTACATGACCATCAACAGAAACGAACCTTGAACTGTGAATAACAATGATGTGATAAATTTTTAATGAAGAAAAAATTATTTTTATAAAACATTTATAAATTCATTTTATTTATTTTTAATCATTTCAACCCAAGCAAGATGATAATGCTACTAAGACACGAGTTTATGGGGGGGGTACCACAGAAGTGGTAGTGTTAGCATGAAACCACAAGTTATGACCAAGAGTTTGAGTGTACTGGTCTTGTTCAAACAGCTGATGATGCCAAATTATTCTCTCCCAGAAATTCAACACATCATAGTTGCAGTATAAATAATAGGTTGGCTCTGTGGATGTTGAACAAACAAATGTGCCCGAGTAGACATCTGCAACAGGGATTAGCTAGTTACTATAGGAGATAAGCATACTCAGAAACAATCAGCCAGCCATACAAATATTACATATGTCATGTTATATTATTGAAATAACTTGTCAGGACAATCATTGCTTTCAACACCTTCATTATCCTCTACAAATTTCTGATTCACTGACAGAATATGACAGACTTTACAAAAATATTGCATAGTTACTTCAAAATATATGTACAATATTTCTTTGTGGATAGCAATGTGGTATTTTCTCTACAACCTAATATTTGTGTATATATTAAAACAGAGCAATATAACATACTATGATTAAATTCTTGGATAATGTTACAAAACATTTGATGAAAATGTATTTCAACATGATTCCAAGCCCAAAATTGGCAGACTGGAATTTGTTTAGAACATTCCTTTGTATATGAGTATGAAGAGGATTCTCTAAATGCAAATGTTTTTCTGTAATATTTTTTTAACAATAAGACCCAAGAGGTAGTGGGTTACAGAGTAAGAAGCAAAATTTATATAGGATATGCAGGGAAGATAATGGTTAACCATAGAGTTGAACAGGTTAAGATCATAGTGGTCAAGGAAGCATCCTCTTGGGAGTTGCTCGCACAAAGCAGCAGTTCATGGGAAGAAGCTGCACATCGAACTCACATCTCACGAAGGGAATACAAAGGGAATGAATATGGTTAACTACAATGCATGTGGCATAGCTGTGAAGGTTAGAACTAGTGGAACGAAGGAATGTAGTTTACGCTATTTGAAGCGTGTTCCTCATCTTTGAACCAAACCATTATTTTGTCCACGAGGGAAGATTGTTTTAGTTCCACATGCCATATGAGAGAGAGAGAGAGAGAGGAGAGAGAGAAACAACACAGAGAGGGGGGAGAGAGAGAAACAACACAGAGAGGGGGGAGAGAGAGAAACAACACAGAGAGAGAGGGGGAGAGAGAAACAACAGAGAGAGAGAGGGGGAGAGAGAAACAACAGAGAGAGAGAGGGGGAGAAAAAAGAGAGAGAGAGAGGGGGAGAGAGAAACGAGAGAGGAGAGAGAAACAACACGGGGAGAGAGAGGGGAGAGAGAGAGAAAGAGAGGGGGAGAGAGAGAAAGAGAGACAAATAACACAGAGAGAGAGAGAGAGAGAGAGACAAATAACACAGAGAGAGAGAGAGAGAGAAACAAATAACACAGAGAGAGAGAGAGAGAGAGAAACAAATAACACAGAGAGAGAGAGAAACAACACAGAGAGAAAGAGAGAGGAGAGAGGAAAAACAGAGAGAGAGGAGAGAGGAAAAACAGAGAGAGAGGAACAACAGAGAGAGAAAGAGAGAGGAACAACAGAGAGAGAAAGAGAGAGGAAGAGAGAAGGAGAGAGAAAGAGAGAGAGGGAGAGAGGAGAGAGAGAGAGAAAGAGAGAGAGAGAGAAAGAGAGAGAGAGAGAAAGAGAGAGAGAGAGAGAGAGAGAGAGAGAAAGAGAGAGAGAGAGAAAGAGAGAGGAGAGAGGGAAACAACAGAGAGAGAAAGAGAGAGAGAGAGAGGAACAACAGAGAGAGAAAGAGAGAGGAGAGAGGAACAAAGAGAGAGAAAGAGAGAGGAGAGAGAGAGAGAGAAAAAAGAGAGAGAGAGGGAAAGAGAGAGGAGAGAGGAGAGAGGAACAGAGAGAAAGAGAGAGGAGAGAGGAACAACAGAGAGAGAAAGAGAGAGGAGAGAGGAAAACAGAGAGAGAAAGAGAGAGGAGAGAGGAACAATAGAGAGAGAAAGAGAGAGGAGAGAGGAAACAGAGAGAGAAAGAGAGAGGAGAGAGAACAACAGAGAGAGAAAGAGAGAGAGAGAGGAGAACAACAGAGAGAAAGAGAGAGGAGAGAGGAACAACAGAGAGAGAAAGAGAGAGGAGAGAGGAACAACAGAGAGAGAAAGAGAGAGGAGAGAGGAACAACAGAGAGAGAAAGAGAGAGGAGAGAGGAACAACAGAGAGAGAAAGAGAGAGGAGAGAGGAACAACAGAGAGAGAAAGAGAGAGGAGAGAGGAACAACAGAGAGAGAAAGAGAGAGGGAGAGAGGAACAACAGAGAGAGAAAGAGAGAGAGAGAGGAAACAGAGAGAGAGAGAAAGAGAGAGGAGAGAGAGAACAAGAGAGAGAGAAGAAACAAGAGAGAGAGAAAGAGAGAGGAGAGAGGAAAAAGAGAGAGAAAGAGAGAGGAGAGGAACAACAGAGAGAGAAAGAGAGAGGAGAGAGGAACAACAGAGAGAGAAAGAGAGAGAGAGAGGAACAACAGAGAGAGAAAGAGAGAAGAGAGGAACAACAGAGAGAGAAAGAGAGAAGAGAGAGGAACAACAGAGAGAGAAAGAGAGAAGAGAGAGGAACAACAGAGAGAGAAAGAGAGAAGAGAGAGGAACAACAGAGAGAGAAAGAGAGAAGAGAGAGGAACAACAGAGAGAGAAAGAGAGAAGAGAGGAACAACAGAGAGAGAAAGAGAGAAGAGAGAGGAACAACAGAGAGAGAAAAGAGAAGAGAGAGGAACAACAGAGAGAAAGAGAGAAGAGAGAGGAACAAGAGAGAAGAGAGAAAGAGAGAGAGGAACAACAGAGAGAGAAAGAGATAGAAGAGGAACAACAGAGAGAGAAAAGAGATAGAAGAGGAACAACAGAGAGAGAAAGAGATAGAAGAGGAACAACAGAGAGAGAAAGAGATAGAAGAGGAACAACAGAGAGAGAAAGAGATAGAAGAGGAACAACAGAGAGAGAAAGAGATAGAAGAGGAACAACAGAGAGAGAAAGAGATAGAAGAGGAACAACAGAGAGAGAAAGAGATAGAAGAGGAACCACAGAGAGAGAAAGAGATAGAAGAGGAACCACAGAGAGAGAAAGAGATAGAAGAGGAACCACAGAGAGAGAAAGAGATAGAAGAGGAACCACAGAGAGAGAAAGAGATAGAAGAGGAACCACAGAGAGAGAAAGAGAGCAGAGAGGAACAACAGAGAGAGAAAGAGATAGAAGAGGAACAACAGAGAGAAAGAGAGAAAAGGAAAAAAATAGAAAGACAACAAAGAGAAAAACAGTGAGAGTGAAGAACAACAACAAGAGAGAAATAAGGAGAAAAACATGCACCCACATATACCCTTTGCAATGACCTTGTTTTGAAGTGATCAAAGTATGGATTTTGCAGTTCCTTTACACAGACGTTCATTGCTTGATGGTTGCAGCAATGTACGAAGGTAGAGAAAAAGGAGGCGGATGTGTAAAAATCAATGTTTTGCTGACCTATATTGTACCATTATGTAGCAGCATCACTTACAGTAATAGATGTGGCATCAGGGACTTCTTAACAAATAGACCAACTTGTGAATATTTATATTGTTTGAGGATTGTTGCTTTTAAAAGCACAAAATTGATGAGCAGTTTAAGGGGAAACAATATCCATAAATTTGCAAAATGAATACAGTTTTACAAATACAACTTAAAAACATTGTTTTGTGATAATGTGTGAGAAAAAAAAAATTCCCCAAAGTCTAGACAGTCATTCATCAGCCCAAACTAATATTGGACATGTTAAAGAAATGACATACTATATGGATGCAGTTCACGATTTTCTTCGTGGTGGTATATATATATATATATATATATATATATATATATATATATATAGTCATCCACAGACAAACAACTTTGCTGTATCACAGCTCATCAGTGTGGCTAGATGTCCAATCACTTCAGGCCAGGATTAAAACCCGACTGATTTGGTATCAGTTGGAGATTCTAACACCTCAGCCATCGATACCCAGCAGAGAGAAAGATGAACTTTTGCATATTTATTTTTTCCTAAACACACCAGTCAATCAGAGAACTCAATCGCTAGGAAAATCTTGTGTGTGTGTGTGTGTGGAGATGTGAGGGTGGTGTAATGGATAGTGGCTTGGAATCAGAGAGCAGCGTTTTAATTTCAGTCAAATTCTTTACATTCACTTATGCACAAATACCCCTGGAAAAGTTATGAAGCCATCACTCTCCCCCCATCTATTGGTAAATAGCAGGTCAGACTGGGTCCTACAGTCTAGGCTGGCAATCAGTCTAAGAGAAGGATGAATGAATTCAAAATCAAGAGAAGTTTGTTTGTAGTGCACCAGTTCTTTGTACCTGGTTCTTTTGAAAAATGTGATTGGTTCTGCACAAGCCTTCACCACTAGAATCAAATCATAAGGTTATGGTATTTCTGGACAAATTCTTGAACTGATTCAATCTTTCTCATCGATTCTGAAATGAAAGTTGTCCTGAGTGGCCACTCTTCTAGATCTTTCTGTATTAATGTAGGTGTCTCTCAGAGATCTATCCAAGTTGTTAGCAAATTTCCTAAATGACATTCTTGATGGCATCAGTTCTCAACTTAGTATCTATACTAATAACTATTTACTCGTCTTAATAGTAAATCTGATCAGTTTGATAAGGTCAAATTGGCATCTGTTCTTAAAAAAATGATCTACAATCTGCTGTCAACTGGAGTAAGGAATGGTTTGTTAATTTTAATGCCTCCAAAACAAACCTGTTCTCTATCAATGTTGTATCCTTAAAGAGGTTACAAACAAAGGTGGTACCCCCAGGTATATCCTGTGCTCACTATATATAGCCACTAATATAGTCAGTCCACATAGGCAATAGGGAGTGTGGGACATTCCATTACAACAATCAATCATCTAATAGACTTTCTGCCTTCCATCAGCATGGCTGATGCTAACCTCCAGGAAAGTGATTCACTGCACCTTCTCTGGCTGACATTTTTCCACAGACATTAAGAGGAAAGATTATATTGAATCAATTGGTGTGTCTGCAGCTAGGAAAGTTGGTTTACTGTGTTGAGCTAGACAATTTTTTACACCAGAAATGCTCATATATTTATAAGTCTACTATTTATCCATGCTTTGAATATTGCTGCCACATCTGGTTTGGTGCTCCTGATATACATTTAGAGATTCTTGATAAAATCCAAAGAAAAATCTGCAATGTTATTGGTGCTGACACAGCATCACACCTTCAATCACTTTCCTACTGCCATAACGTACCTTCCCTGTGCCTTTTCTATAAATACTTCCATAGTAATTATTCTGATGAGCTTTCCCCTATGGTACCTAGACTTTATGAATTCAAGTACAGTACTAGATTGGTAGCAAGGTCTCATCCTTTTATAGTTGAAATGGCTACATGTAATTGTAAATTCTATGCTAACAATTGTATCTATCACACTTCTCACTTCCCAGTCAACTTTGATCTTCAAAAATTTAAGTGCAATATCGTTTATATATATATGTATATAATAAAATGTGTAGTTTAAAAATATACATATATTTCACTGGGTAATATCCAAATTATTAAATTTGTTAACATGATTTGTTCAAACTCGTATTTCCAGTTTTGTTTATTCTGTTACTTAAGGACTGAGCAAAGACTGCAATGTGTGGGTAGGTATTTATAACTTTCTTTTGAACTAAATCACACCCTTATATATTAAAACTAACAAGAAATACATCAATTTATTTGAACTGGTGTCCTCATCTTGGTTATTATAGTCACAGTATTTTGGCTGTTACACAAACTAATCCCTTTATTCAATTCCTAGGGAAGACTGTTCTGGTTCCCACTCCTAGACGAGTGGATATTTCATATGAGCTGAATCTTATTTTTATCCTTTGTTAATTCATCCTTGTAATGCCATTTCTGTTCATTCCTTTGAATGAAAATGTGTGTGTGTCGCTGCCTCACGAAAGGATTCAACCTTGAAAAACTACAAACTATTAATAAAATATAATGGCCCACAAAAGAATTTAGAACTTGAACAAGTCCAAGGAAAAAAAGAAAAGAAAAAATATTGGTGCAGTTTCCATATTGAAGAAATAGAAAATATATTTTTGATCTATCAAATCATGTTTTAAGTACAAAACATCATGAAAAGCAATGATAAAGAAGAGTAGGGTCAAGTTGTGGAGAGCCATTATCATTCATATTCTGAAGGGACATAACAACTAAAAGTTGCTTAAACTCCAAGTATATCTCCCACATAATGGTAAAATATTAACTAGATAAAGACAATGTTGCCACTAATTATTTGGGAGGTATTTCTGCTACACCCTGTACAGGAAATTGTCATTGTGGAAAAATTATAGTAAATATTTGTACTAAGTAGAGGAGAGCAAGAATGGATGGTCACTAAGATTACAATCCTAAATTTAAAATAGAATCAGAGGTTGGAGATATATATATATATATATATATATATATATATATATATATATATATAAAATCCACGGGTAAGTAATCCAAATAGATCCTAATAACAATATATTAAAACTGATCCACAAAAGAGAGCTCAATATATTTATTATAGAGCATATAAATGAATTACATACCCATCTGAATGGGGTAAAACAGTTTCATATATATATATATATATATATATATGTATGTATTATAGTCTAGATAGCCAGTTCAATGTTCAAACAATTATGAGCTATTAATCTTACCAAATGAGTCTTGTCTCTATCCATCAGTATTTCTAGAATATTTTTGGTCTAAGTATCCTTTTAACCATATTTCATTAGAATGTCAATCTACTTTTCCATATTTGTCTAACTGAAGAGGTGTTTTGTAGAAATGAAATTTGTACACAGATCAACATTGTAACAGTTTGACTCTCCTAGTCTATTGTCCAGAAGCCCCACCTGGGTGAAAAACACTGCTCTTCATGGATGTTTATAACTACATATAAATGTTCATGGAGAACTTTGACCCAGCTGTGAAAGTTCCCCCAAAATAAGCTCTTTTCATCAGACTTTGGTAGAGTTGATTTTTCCTTGTTCTCAAATGTGTGATTTTTGTTTTTGTTCTCACCTCGAGTTCATGTTAAAAGGGTCATATGCTACATTCTTCATGGATATTTTTTTCTTCTTCCCCTACCAAAAATAACCCCACAAACATATCTCCAAGGTGTCTTATATATGAAGCCGGAGTATCTGGCATGCCAATGTTTACCCAGCCTATCTTGATCATGTTAAATATAAATCTTGTTTGAATATATATATATATATATATATATATGATGAAATCTTGGTGAAAAGGTGCCATCAAAATATTGTTGGTGTTGAATTGCCAATATCAACTCGATAACAAAAAAGAAGTTCACAGGAGACTAAAAATTGAAATTAATCAGATATGCACAAACTTCCTCAACTGGGATAAAGGTGGTTAAGAGACAATTTCAAATCATGTAGTTAAAAAAGGTTTATATCTGAGAAGTGGTGGATAGATGCAGCTTATTTACCAGTGAACTAGGATACAAATTCGAGATACAGTCCAATAAGTAGCAACAGTATGACAAACTAGTAGCATTTTAAATAGTCATTTTATATTATGTTTTGATTCTCTGCACACAACTCAGGATTTTATTATGGTAGTTTAGAATAATATATATATATATATATATATATATATATATAGTCTACAAAATCAAGAAAACTAACTTCTTTATCAGATGAGCCACTACCTTGCAAGCTGCTGTAACATTAAAATTGGTAGCACATACAAATACTCAAGGTAGCAGAAGCAGAAACTGCAGCATCAGTTGATAATTAAACTGTCTTCACTCCTATTACAGTTTAGTTCCATTCTGAAGAGTCTAGTCAAAGAAAGATTTTTGCAGTGTGATAAAACCCATTAATTTACAGAGCAGAGAAGAAAAAAAAGGGACAAATACAACCTTTTGTCTAATAATAGTTATTACATTTAATGCATGAAATCTGTACGAAAATGTAACAACAATTGTAAAACAGAGAGAGTACATTTTTTTTTGTTCTTCACTAGAACGACATTGATGGCAACATTCATAAAATTGTATTTCTGAAGATGTAGTTGAAAGGAATTAAAACCCTCATATTATTTTTCTACTTTCCTTTCTTGCTCTACCTCCAACACTCTTTTAGGATAAAATACCCTTTCTTTTTTCCAGTAATCTTTTCTGTTCATTTTCTTTCTCTTTGAAATTACTTTGTCCATCTTGTCTTTTACTGGCTGCTGTTGCTTCTTCTTCCTCCTCTTTTAAACTTTGCCCCCATCTCTGCTTGCACAAACAA